GTCGCAGGGCATTTGCCAAGTCCGTGAACCGTTTCTGTGGTGCACATGGCTCCGCTTTCAACAAGTCACAGTTCAAATCCCCACAGACCATAAGAGCGCTATTCGGATAGCGAGTGTAGATCTCTTGTATTTGGGTCTCAAGATCGTCAAAGTCAGCGTCAAGTGTCGATACTTTGTTGTCCGGGGGTCGATAAACTGTTCCAATGATTAGGCGCCTGTCAGTTTTGTGACGAAGTCGTCTGCCGATCCTGATGGACACCCGTCACCCACAGGGACTCTAGCCTGCTGTTGCGACACACTTGGGAACGCAGCCTGATAGTGGTCGTTCTGAGGCATGTTCTCGTGAAAATCGCCACACCTCCACCGCATTTCTTGGTTTTGTCGCGTCTGTCCTTTCTGATCAGCTGATAGCCCTCTGGTACCTCGACGTTTTTGTCCGGTTTAAGCCAAGTTTCAGTGAGGGCAATCAAATCAAGCTTCCGGTCCTCCAATTCAAAGGGCAGCTTTGGGAGTTTGTCCTTGTTAGCTGACTGAATGTTGACAACACCGATTCTAAACAAAGTTGAACGTTTTTGTATCGCCGCTCTGACGGAACTTGAGCGCCACTTTCTGTAGCGTTGGCCTTGCCTTCCACCTGGTCGCCAACGGGCCCATTTTGAGACACAGGGACGAAGTACTTTTCCCCGCCTAGCAGGATGAGACAAATGTGTCACTGAGGAACCCAACATTCGTGGAGCTGAACGACTGCTCAGTGTCCTCAATTTTCGCGGCATTTTCCCGGAAGTGCTTGCCTTTTGGGATTTTAGTAGAACTCCGGACCTGGACTGAGAAGGTACCGGCGGTCGATCTGCTGATGTTGTAACATCCGGAATCCGATGCGGACCCCGATTTACTGAGCGCTCACAATCACCTCTGACCGCGGTAGCTACTTCAGACTCGCGAGAGCTAACCTGAGCACTTTCGACTAAGTCTGAAGCTTGACCTTGACCTTTGACTTCTGACCTGTCATTGGAGCTCTCAAGGTCATGTCCCTTCAGCAGGGATTCGGAGGAGATCGGCCAAACCGCTGCCTTCAGTCGTCTCAGATAATTAGTTATCAGCCAGGCGCTCATTTTGACAGCTGAAACAAACGTAAAATGCAGATTAATTAGAAGGTGAAATCAGAACCACACAATTCAACTCAGAATATTTATTGAATCAATATTGCAGCAATGCGTAAATTACACGTTCGCGCTAAATTGATAACAGTGAACCGGATGCTGACGAAGTATTCGGGGTCCGCTAAGCTTTAAAACATTTCAAAACATCTCGGAATTTAGTATACAAGTTATAAGAAAAAGTGCAAAGTTTGTGGTCAATTTTGAGCATGACCATGAGATGACCTTGAATTTGAATGTTATGCACATCATCGGAATCCGAAGACTCTCTTCTTTTGTCGACTCTCATCCATTTTAGCCGGTATTATGCACCATGCCGTCCTCTGGAACACGTACTATGAGACCACTACAAAAATGCTGGTTTTTGCCTTTGACCTTGACTTCTGACCTTGAAAATATCAGTCAAATTTTGTGGGGGCAAAAACATGGTCTTGCCCCCACAGCCTCCTGCCAGTGGGGGCAGTTTGCGACTCTGCCCCCACTGCCCCCACGGTGGCGCCACTTGGCCGATTGCGCTGAAAGTTGGCATGTAGGTATAGGCACCCACTAGGCAATGCATATCCATGTGCCAGAATTGGGGTGCTGCTGCACGTGTGCACGTGCAGGGGTCGTTTCCAGATCTTAAGAACGGCTGGGCCGATTGTGCTCAAATTTGGCACATCGCTAGAGACCGGTTAGTAGGGTGCCGTGCACAAGTCAGTTGGAGGTAGGTACCCCCTCGCAATTTCGCACGTGCAAGGCTCACCCTCTCGCTCGCTCCGTTAGTCGCCCCAAAAGGCATTAGGTATACTGGTGACTGGTGATCTATCAGGACGTCTCCATTAGGGGAAGCGGAGGTAACACCGCCCCCCTAAGCTTTTCACCAAAATGAGAGAATATGTGTGAAGTCTCTTGGTAGTTATTGTCTTGGTTACAATATTTAAACATTTTCTCACGTGTTTTAGGTACTTATTTTGCATGCTCCTAAAAGGTTTTCATGTATCACGACTTTTAAAAATACCTTGCATATTTGCTGCCTACAAATTGTGTGGGTAACCCCGCCACCGGTGTTGATGTTAACCCAACCCATTCCTACGAAAGCTTTTAATTGTTCAGAGATCGTGTGCGATGAGTTTCCTGTCGGTAAGTGGTAATTTTCGCAAATAATCGGTAATGGACACCTAAATAGGTATAGGTTCATCAGCTGTTTGCCAGTTTTATACAGCTGGCAAGTGCTTGGTCGGGATGCATGAAAAATATAAAGTAAAAAATCAAATAAGCTGCTTATTCCCGACTTAGGAACATCTACGAACATAAATAAAGCGTGTCTTTGGAGTTTCATCACTTATCACATTACAAACAGGAAACACCGCAACCTCAATTGGGGTAACACCGCCACGGGGTGGCGGTGTTCCCCAATAAGTGATCACAAGCAAAAATCGCCAGCGGTAAGAATGTACTACACGGTTCAAGCAAACTTATCTTACTGGACAAAGCCAATCAGTTATTTTTCGATGTAATCAAGTAAATCAAAATGAGTCTCTACTTACAGACATTCAAAAGTGCTCCCAACTCATCGAATTTTTATAAGAGAATGTGCATTTTTCTTTAAATGCCCACATTGAGCTTCGATTACACTGAAACACCGGAACACAAATCAGAAGACGCTTACCTGCGTGCGGTCAATAGGAAATAACGGATTTTTACACTTCACATTTCATACTTTCGCCGCCAGATGGGGTGGCGGTGTTTCCCACAGTGGCGGTGTTACCCCCGCTTCCCCTACTCACACAAAGATGGCTTCTTCAGTCTTCACTCTTCACACTGCACAGCACGTCCTACGTTCATCGTTCACTGACTTCATGACCATGCCCAAATAGGTCGACCGAACCAATAAGTGTGAGGGAATATAGGGATGCATGAGGCATGCAAGTGACGTCACACTCACGGGAGCAATGCAAAAGCGATTATGCGATATGGGGTGAGTTAACCCGCGCCCCGCTGGGCTATTCAGCCATACGCGCCCTGCTGGGGGGGGGGGGGCAGATTCTGCCCCCCCCCCTGTCTAACTTCCGAACCGATGGTCGTAGAAAGACGGGGAAAACGGCAATCGAAAGCTCTCAACAAGGCGGATCTTAAGAGCCCAATTTTTTTTGCTTAAGTAGGTCAGAGGTCAGGTCAAGGTCAGGTCAAGGGTACAAAATGCAAGTTTCTACAGTATCGGCCTTGCACCGTAGTTGGCGAAGAATGGACTGAGACTGATTGCCCAAAACGTGTTCTTAGACTACCAAGACAATATTCGTTGCACACAATGTCATTCAAAGGTGAAGGTCAAGGTCAGGTCAGGTCAGGTCAGGTCACCAAAAACAAAATATAGAAAAGGGCATGTGCGACACATGTTTTATGGGTCATTTTACTTATGGAATTCAATAGGCACACTCAATAAGTGATATGGACCACCTCTGGATGAATTTCAGGTCGAGGTCAGGTCAAGGTCAGGTCAAGTGAGGTCAAATTTTGAAGTTGGTTGTTAAGGCCTAAAAAGGTGTCTATCCGATGCAGTTTTTCACGACGAATCGAATGGTGCTATTTTTGTTTCCGTATGAGGTCTAGAACTTCCAAAAAATTCATTTTTCAAAATTTTTGTGTGTCGTGACGTCATAAAATTTTGAATAACCCCACATTTTTGAACCGATTCTTCTAAAAATTGGTATGCAGGTGCACATAGACAACTTCTTTGACATATATTCCGGTTTTTTCGACACACTCAAAATTTTGAATTTTATAAATAATTTCCCAAAAAAGTCAGTTTTTTTAGAAAATTTTGGCCAAAATCCAAAATTTTCAAAAAACCCAGATAGCCATTTGATAGACAAAGTAGAATCACGTATAACCTTTTTTGTTACGTCTTGATTCCTTTAAAAATGAAGATGTTAGCGGCGTTTGAAATTTTGCCGTTTTTGAGGCGAAAATGGCGAACATGACGTCACTAAAACGTCAATTTCTCAAAAATTTTCCGACGGATTTCGCTCAAATTTTCAGGGAACGTGTCAAATTGATGTATGATAAGGTAGGTACTGAAAGTTTGACGTCGCTGGCGTAACGCGTTTAGAAGTTATTGGCGAAAAACGGGAGGGGGGCAGATTCTGCCCCCCCCCCCAGCGGGGCGCGGGTTAAGACTTTTTTATACAAGGCGATGTGGAAGAAGTGGATAATTTACATGGCGCTCTGGCCTCTGGGTGTAGGAGCTTCGGATCCTTCAATGGTCACATACTGAAAGATTGTGGAGCTTGTGGCGTCATCAAACTGGCAATTTCATTTTCCCATCCTGTTGCAGGAAGTTGCAGGACTTGTGTTGCCAGGCAAAAAGGCGTAGGTATGCCTATGCAGTATGCACCATGAGTCGGACCGTTGTTAATATTGTTGAGAGCAGACTTGAGGGTGCGCTTTTCCATGCCAATGCCATTAGGGACCGGACGGCGGACGCCGGACGATCACCTTCACCCAAAATGGGACAATCGTGGACAAACATACTAACTCTGCACTAAGGCTATGACTGGCAGCAGGGGAATACCCGTTACGCCCGTTACCCTTACGTCATATTTCTGCCCTCTGATTGGTCAGTGATGAGATCATCGCCAAACTATATACTATCCAGCTAGTATAAAGAAGAATGTACGAGCCAAAGCATTTGAAAAATGCAGTTTTATTAATAATCCTCCTAACTTTTAATCTGCATTAATTTTTTACCAAGTAGGAGAATATCAAAGAAAAATTAATACAAATCATTTCTACACTTAGGCTCATATTTAGTCGAAAAGCTAGCACGCTACCAATTCCTACTAAATTGTACGCGATTGCACCACCTTTCGTCATTGCCCACGGCAGTTTGCTGGCCGGTATAGAATCTGGCGGCATCCGTGAGGCCCTTTTCGCTTCTGGCTGGTGCGTACGTCGGTCGTGTGTCGAATAACGGCTCCGGAAACTCTGGGACCTTCCAGTCACCGAGGCGACACCCCTCCTGGGGGTTCGACGGTTTTCCTACGACGGTCAACTTGCCGGCGATACGGCGTCGGGGCGTTGACATTCATTCGTGACTGTTGTGGGGAAGGTAAGCATTCCTGACGTCTCGGCCTTGGTAACATATGAAGCACCATGCAGGCATCATGGCTGATCATATACAATTTAAGTTACTAATGATTCACTCATTTCATTGACTTGATGAGTCACTACTGGCCTTGCCTCAGAAATCAATTGAAGGTCTTGGCCTTGGGCTCGGTCTGCCTTTTTCAAGCTTCACTGTCCGACCATTGACAAGTGATATGCTTCTGAAACAATTTCCATTTTAGTTACCCTGCAATTTATGGTAATGGATGATTTGTAGAGCTTTTCCAAAATATTTATTTTTGAATTGTTATATTTCATGGAACATCTAATTAGAGGAAATGTAACATAATTTTTCATTGTTGGACAATGCCGTGCCAATGTTTGTAACATACTGCTTTAGTACAACAAAATATGCTGGGCCAGACAGTTTCTGTTTATACCTGAGGTTGTCTGAGGTGTCTTCCCCAGGTAGCATTCTTTCCTGCTTGTTTGTGACCCAGATCTTCTTTTCCAGGGTCTGCTGGATATTGGCCTCAGGTTCTGGTGAACCTCCCCTGGCTGGACTGGATTGGGCTATTGCCCTAGGCCTTGTTTTTCAATAAGGCCATATTTTCTGAGGAGCTTCAAAGGAGCAACATTTCTTTTTCATTCCCTGATACTTCTAAAGTAAGTTCAAGTTTCAACCATCATAACTTTCTGCATGTAGCTAGTTGCCACCAAGCACAGCTCGCAAACAGCCCAAAGTGGTGTGCTATTATTGATGACTTACAGCACATCTGTTTCAATGTCCTGCCCTGCTGTCTTGTCTGTGGACTATGTTATGCTTGTCGCAAAGAAACCAGTCTGGGATGCTGTTCATGCTCTGTGACTGTGCTCAACAGTTGTTAGCTACTGCTGGGTGACTGGTTATGGCCTGTGGTTTGTCTTCAATCCTGAGGTCAATCAGATGTTAGTTAAACACAGTTATTATGCAGTTTTTCATAGTATAGATACTTAGGTACTCATTCAGATGAATAGGAATTGTTGTGCATACCAAAATGGAAATTATCTTAAATTCATACTTTGTATTGTCAAGCAAGTAATTTTGGTCTCTCCATGACAAATTAGGTGTTTGAATTAACAGCAGTGTTCTAAAATTGGATTTTGGTTGGGTGTAATGATGAAGAAAAATCCTAGGATGGGAAAAGGGAAGTAAATGCCTAAAGTATTTTCACAGAATGGCATTACCCCATTTTACTGCTAATCAACAAAGCAGGATTTTATGTCAGGATCTTGGCAAGATCTGAAAGAAAAGGATTTGATGCATCAGCTGCCAAATCATATGCAACCTGGCTGTTTGAATGCATGAAACATTTCTTTGAAGATAAAATAATGCCTTTTTTCTTATTTTTGGGATTGAAACTTTTTTCGTTATGTGTCATATTCCACCCAAAATTCTGAGAAATGCAATGCTGATGAGCAGTCTTTGTGTTCTGTTCTGTTTCTCATTTATGTTTTTGTTGTTGCCCTTGACAATCTTGGGACTTTTTTGTCTTCAGGGTTTTTGGCCATAAGCATGCACATTGGGTTATCAGTAAACTTGTTTCATCCCTGTACAGTTTGGTTTTGCGCATTTACAGAGGGTGACTTGGCTGAATGTTAGTGTGGAGTGCTGCAGTGATTTGTCCGGCGCGTGCTGACGGCGGCCTTGCCGCTGTCCACAGGCTGACCTGGCTCGGTCAGCTGGACCTCACTGGACCCACAGGCGCCCGCCGTGCTCTGGTTCCGGCCGCTTCGGCCGCGCCCCGCCCCACCGACCCGATGGTGAACCGGGTGGTAAGAGGCGCTGGGGGCGTTCGTCGCGAGTAGCACGTTCCTCGTTCCTGGCGCATCTCAGTCTGACCATCACTCAGCAGCGCGGTCTGTCTCGCGTGATCTCCGCCGCGTTGGCCTCACCAACTGACGACCCGCCCCTGCCACTGTCCGTTGCAGAACATACAATGTTCGCTACTAGGAGCCTCGCCGTCATCTTCTACGTCTCAAATGCTGAAGGAGGCGAAACTGGAGGTGCCCAGCCTGGTGCTGGGCCCTCCGAGCCCCAGCTGGATCGACCTGATCGTCGGGTCTCCACCGGGTCTCCTGAAAGAGCCCCGCGTCCTGGAGGATCCAACACCGCCGCTGGAGGCAGTAGTCCAGACCCGAGTGCAGTCCCGCCGCCAGCAGCCAGCCTCCGCCAGCGAGATTTCCTCGGCGAGCGGGACGATTTCCTCGGCGAGCGGGACGATTTCCTCGGCGAGCAGGACGATTTCCTCGGCGAGCAGGACGATTTCCTCGACGAGCTGTGTGGCGGAGCGAGCGACGAATGCGAGCTGCGAGTCCCGCAAGCGCACGACGACCTCCAGTGGCGAGTTTTCGAAGACGACGACGACGAACAGTGTGAAGAGGCGTTGCGTGGAGGTTTCTGGAGACGAGACGCCGGCTACCGCTCACCTGGACGACTGGAGCGCCGCGGTCGCTGTGGACACGCTGAACCAGACGTTTCTGGCGCCCTCCAGCGGCATGGAGGGCTACGACGCCGAGCTGATGAGTGAGCTGTGGGGAGACCTCCTGCTGGACGCCTCGCCCGAGTGGAATGGTGAGGAGGGACTTGTGGGCGACGTGCGGGACAGCCGTGGGGGAGACTTTGACGAGGATTGTGCTCAGGCATCGTACTTGCGGTGCGAAATTGATTGAACGCCGAGATTCCTTGTAACGCTGATAAGCAAATGACAGTTTCACTCCCTCTTTTATTGTTCATTCATAACAGAAAACACTAGCTTGTCAGTTCACTTATTTATCAATAGCCTATTCACTCACTTCTCAACGCTTCTCTCTTATCTCCAACAGGCCACAGCATAACACCCCTCCGCTCACCATACCCACACCAGTCTGCGCTGAGCCACCAGAGTCCCTCGCTAACCCGTATGGCTGTGCTGTGTCCACAGGCAGCTCACTGGATGCTGCCGTGCTGCCGTGTGATCAACTGCCGACGCCCACCCCGCTGTCCGACAGCCACCTCATCGACGAGGTCTCCGAGGAACAGCTGGTGAGCGGATCTGTCCGTGTGTTAGTCTGTCTGTCTGTCTCTGTCTGTCTGTATGTCTGTCTGTCGCTGTCTATTTGTCTGACTTTGTATGTTCATCTCTGTCTGTCTGTCTGTGTCTGACTGTGTATGTTTGTCTCTGTGTCGGTCTGAGTTTCTCTCTCTCTCTCTCTCTCTCTCTCTCTCTCTCTCTCTCTCTCTCTCTCTCTCTCTCTCTCTCTCTCTCTCTCTCTCTCTCCTCTCTCTCTCTCTCTCTCCTCTCTCTCTCTCTCTCTCTCTCTCTCTCTCTCTCTCTCTCTCTCTCTCTCTCTCTCTCTCTCTCTCTCTCTCTCTCTCCTTCTCTCTCTCTCCTCTCTCTCCTTCTCTCTCTCTCTCTCTCTCTCTCTCTCTCTCCTTCTCTCTCCTTCTCTCTCTCTCTCTCTCTCTCTCTCTCTCTCTCTCTCTCTCTCTCTCTCTCTCTCTCTCTCTCTTCTTCTCTCTCTCTCTCTCTCTTTCTCTCTTTCTCTTTCTCTCTCTTTCTCTCTCTCTCTCTCTCTTCTCTCTCTTCTTTCTCCTCTCTCTTCTCTCTCTTCTCTCTCTTCTCTCTTTCTCTCACTTACTCTCACTCTCACTCTCGCTCTCTCTCGCCTGCCCTTTCTCAATGATGCAGTGGATTTAGCTGATGGGTTATTTTGCCATTTGTTTTTAATGATTATTCTATCCGCCTCTTTGTGGCGGTAACTCGTGTAATAAGACCTCAAAGATGGGTTGTGCAGGTGCGTTGTATATTTTCAGGCTTCGTTCCTGCGTCTGCTAATGCTCGTTGTCTGTCTTTCAGCTGGAACTGGCTGAGATCCTGGAACCTGCCATGCCCGAGGTGGCCGCCGCCGCCGCCGCCCAGACCGAATCTCTGCCGCCCCCGCCCCCGCCGGCGCCCGCGACCACGACAACCGAGGTACGCACAGCGGTACTCAAAGAGGGCCAGGGCCGGCCCAGGGGGTCTTCTTAACTAGAATTGCTGGCTGGGGGATGTCTGGACGTACTTCTGTCTGAAACAGACTCTTTCCGCGTTCAGGAAATCGCATGCGAGAGCCTATTCAAATACATTGTAATTCTTCTCGCATCAATCGCTTGCGGAAGGTGCGTGCGATTGATGCGAGCGTGATTCCATGTATTTGAATAGGCTCTCGCATGCGATTTCCTGACTGCGGAAAGAGTCTGTTTCAGGCTTTAATTTCTGGTGGCAGTGATTCTGGTATCTAAGCGAGACATGTTAGTTTGTTTTATGGAATGTTCAGTGTTTGGCTGTTTGGCATCGTTTTAAATGTTCCTACATACGAATGTTTCAGCGCTAGTTGTATTGGCGTTTTCCAGTGGTTCCTACCCTGACTCTTCTACTTCCCTCCAGGCGCCAGCCGCAGCCACCATCGACCTGGCTGCTCTTCTAGAGGAGACCGAGATCGTGTTCAGCCCGGAGCTCGCCACACCATCCGAGCCGGCTCCGGCGGCTCCTCCGGTGGCTCCTCCGGCGGCGGAGGAGTCGACCCACTATCTCCTGGTGGTGACCCCTCCGGCGGACACCTCCGGCGGCCCCTCCTCCAGCTCCTCCGAGACGCCCGACGACCCCGAGTGGGAGCCCGACGACGCCTCCTCGCGTTGGTCGTCGATATCGACAGACGCTGAGCCGGCGGAGTCGCTCGGCGCGACGGCACCGACGCGGAAGCGCGCCGCGCGTCGCCCGCCGGCCGCCACTCCGGCGGAGAAGTACCGCCGGATCCGCGATACTAACAACGAGGCGTCGCGTCGCAGCCGCCAGCAGAGGAAGCAGAGGGAGCTGGACACCCAGTCGCGGGCAGAGCAGCTGGAGAGCGAGAACGCCAGGCTGAGGGAGCGCGCCGCCGTGCTGGAGGGCCTGCTGGAGCGGGTGAAGGCACTGGCGCCGCTGCTGACGGCCAAGCGGTGAGGTGGCGGACGAGGTAGTGGTAGGCGGCGGACAGTGGCGGGCTGCAGTGAATACCGCGGCGAGGCTGCTGCGGTGAATGCCGGCCGGCCAGGACGCTATGCCGCGCGGCCGGAGGACATACGGACAGCAAATGCTACACAAACTGCCTGCGGGTATTTTTAGTGAATCGGCACTCGGTGCCTTAGTCAATGGTGTGCTACATGTGATGTTGGGCAGTGAATTGCCCCAACCTATTTATCTAGTGAGAATTTGACGATGCGACTGAAGTCGCCGGCCCGAAGCGGTTGTTCGGTGCCCATGTGTTATGTCTTGCACAATGTTCTTCGTTTATAATACAAGAGATTCGAACCATTAAGGAAGATTAGTTGTTCCAATGGTTCGCATTCCATGTGCGATTACTGTAATGTCGCCCTGCGAAGTGTCCGCAGCTGTTTGTCAAGAGGAACAGATGTATGTCGCATCGTACGCGGTTAGTTACCTTTGACGAGTGTGAATTGTGAAGTACTTATCGTTCCATATCATTCGGTCATAGCTGTTTGGTATTGCTGATTGTAAAAATACTCTGACCACTTTGTTTGAATCGTCACATGTATTGAGTTGCTATCATGCTCTGCGAATAATCACCCTGCATCGTTTCGGTTAAATACAAATCGCATTCAAAATATCTGTTTTGGTCATGGGTCATGGGCGACGGGTATTGTCATTGTCCGGCTGATTGGTCCTTTACAACTACTACTGATTATGTAGGACGGTACAAATTCTGGCGCAAGGATAAGTGGCTAGGAGTCTCGGTTCGCGATAAACAATATCAAAACACTCATTAGAAAGCCTCTGCTAAATTACTGAAGAAAAGGAGGGGGAGGAACTGTTGTTGTACATTTTGGCATTTGCCAATATTGATAACAGCTGTGGTTAACACGTTACGCTCCTGGCGCGACGCTTCTGGGTGGGTTGAAAAGGTAGTGACCTTTTTATGAAGACAAAGGTCTCGTCTGATCATAGAGGGTAGGATGCCAACCAGGTTTATCTTTTTTTTTTAGCTGCATGTCACTTGTCAGTGCGCTCGTTCCAAAGTAAAACGATTTTGACGTTACTGATTTCAAAGGTCGGTTATTGGTAATTGCTGAAGTAAGGATTTTTGCCTCGAAGGTTCTCATTTTGAGTTGATATTTTTCATGCTTCAACTTTCAAGCAAGACGGCGAGCGACCACGCCCTCCGCGTCTTTTGTTTGAGACGTCGTAAATATTGATTTAGTTGCCACAATCGTGTCGATTTCAATGTTTGGCGCATACACGACAAAATACAGCGCAGGGAACAAAAACACACTTTGACTTGACAGTGGACACCTTCAGCTGGCGTTAGGAGTTTTTAAAAATATGTTGTAGGAGTTTCGTGCCTTTAAGGTATTACACTCTTCACAGGTGAGAATATTGATGATCCTTCCATTCCAATTATGTGTTACAGATTGTGGATAAATTAGAAATGCCTGGCTTGTGCTTGTGCTTACTGGTCGGCTTATAAATCAGCAAAATATAAGGCCCTTCAGGCCCAAATCACCAATGTACCCTTGGAATTAAATTTGTAAAAAGCTCATTTAGGACTTAAATGTTTGGAATCGATAACAGTTGCCAACCTCAACCTGAAGCATGTGGGATCAATGATCAACAAATAAATGTTAAATGATAAAAATTGAAATTATTTTGGCAAGCTCTTCATCTTTCTTTTTTCAAAACTAGTTTCATGTAGCTTTTTATTTACAAGAAAATGTATTGAATACAGCACCTAACTGCCCACAATTCAGTTTCATGATGAAAATCCCATGACAATGTTGCTGGTTCAGCTGGAATATATCAGTATCACAATAATGAGCTTTTTATAAGTTTATGGTATCTCACAACAAAAAAATGTCACTCACTGCCAGCAAGTCAGTGAAAATGAATGTTTCCACCATCTATTGATTGGTTAATTTACTTTACGACCCTCCAAAATGGTTGCTCAGGGCAAACAAAGGCAGGACAAGTGTAAGGTGTTGCAGCTGATTTTCAATAGTACCAGTTACAGTTAATAGTACCAGTTAGCTAAATGTGTAGTGTTTTGTGATGTCATCATTCATAACGCATTTTTCAGTATTGGTGGAGATGGACCTAATCAGTAGCTGATTTTTTCAGAGTCTCCTGAGTCCTGGCATTGTTCTGGTGCCATCGGCCATACATGCCAGCATGCAGGGCTGAGGGCCAAGACTACCTTTGGATCTCAACATAAAGGTGAGTACCCAGTAGAGATCATTTTCATCATTTCAACAATCATGCTGACTGCTGCAGATCTGGTGGAGTGAGCCATTGATCAGCAAAAGTCGCTACATAGGTTAGAACACTATCAGATAACATTATCACTTATCAGAATGTGTCAGAAAACATTATCAGAAAACAATATCAGATAACAGGGTGGAGAGGCTGTCAAAAGGCATTATACTAGGCATTTGAAACATTTTGCCAAATTTTCTCACTTCTGCTAGCATCACATAAAGTGATCATGCTTCCAGCAAACTCAATGTTTAAATCACTTATTGTTTGTTGTCATGGTTTAGTTGACTTAACACAACAGCCAATTCGATATGATGGGTCTTCATTTAATCATATTTTAATCGACACAACACCAGCTGGGTCGGTATTCGTTTGTTTCGTGTCGTGTTGCGTCACACGTGTGCAGTTTCTGGGATCTGTCCTTACGCCACCGACCGTTATACCGTTCCCTGTAGCTCCTATTCTCGTGTGTTTTGCGTCTCCTCTTCTCAGACCACTCGATTATATTCATCTTTTTTCTATCATGAAGGATTCATAGCTTGTTTGATGGACGGAGATAAGATAGGGATTCGTTATGATTCGTGTCCATGTAGTAGCTAGCCCTTTGTAGGAGGTTTATTCGTAGGAGGACGTACGAGGAAATCATGTCAGTGTCATTTGTATCCCAGATCCCAACCATTGTTCGTTACTCAGGTCGGGAGATACCTATCCTACCCGACACATCAAAGTTCATTAATGACGATTGCATCGTGACAACGGTCGATTGGATTACATCTTAGCTGGTCTTAGTGGTTGCTGCGCCATGTCTCGTGTCCCTGCACCATCTCGTCTCCTCCGCGCCATCTCTCGTCTCCCCTGCGCCACCTCCTGTCGCCGTTCCGCGGCCAACTGTAGAGAAACCGACACCGGTGGCGGCGCGCTGCGCTGCGCTGGAACTCTGACTAGCTCTGCGCTGGATCTCTCTTGGGGGGAGGCGCACCAGCGCTCGGCAGTGCGCTGTGAGACGCTCGCCCGGTGAGAGCCGACCGGCCGACGCTCAGCTCGTGGGTCCGACGGCTTGGACGGGATTGTGGTGGTTTTGGACAGTTTGAACAAACGGCGGAGAATTTCGGGATAGTTTGAGCGTGATAGTGGAGGCTTTGTACCGCTCGACCGAACGCTGGTGGATTTTTGATGGCGTGGACCAAGTGGTGGAGGATTTTTACAACCCGGGAGTTCTGAATGCTCCATTGACGGCACAGAGACGGTCCCAGAGCACCGTGCTGGGCCAGGAGTTGTAGTGTCGGCCTGGAGGATACTTCAGTGGCGGTTTAGCAGCTACAGAGGCGGTTTACACGGCCTCCAGTGAAGGGTCAGAAGCTAGTGTGACGGGTCAGGGACTCCCGTGTCGCTCCAGAACGGTTTCGGAGCTCCAGTGCCGCTCCAGGAGTACCTACCAGTGACCATTCAGTAGGTTCGGAGACAGTTAGCGCTCGCCTGTGTTGACCCCAGGTAGCCAGTGACAGCTCGTGTACACGTCAAATTGTGCTGACAGTGACTGTGCTCGAACACGTCACCGAAATGAGCCGCGTGACCGGCGCAAGACACGACTGCTCGTGAGAGGTTGTGAGCTATGGGATAAATTGAACTAGCCGTGAGCTATGTGGGGTTCATCGTGAGGCGTGAGCTACGTGAGTTTTGAGACGCTTAAGTTGACCGGAGCTTAGTGTGGTGAATCGCTCTCGTGAGCGTTACGCGGGAACGTCACGTTACATCGAGGTTAGGAGTGTCCGGACTGCTTCGACGAGAGCAAATTTGTGTGACTCTAGACGCCAAGCGTCGATTGTGACCCGGTTGGAGCTGAGTTATTAACGTGAGGTCCTGCCGTGAGAGGTGCAGCTGAGCCACACGGGATCAGTGTCACGCTCCTCCGTACAGCTCCCGTACGGACCTTTATACACTCGTTCGTCCGTACACTCGTCCGTGCACTCGTCCGTACACTCGTCCGTTCGTGTCTCTCGGCCTTATCGGACGGATCATCGAGAGCACGGAGGCAGACAATATGGGACGAATGGAGACAGAAGAGTTGGAAAAAACGACCCGGCCCGGCCGAAAGAAACCAATTCGACGGCCATCGTAAGTCAGAATGGGGATCGTTTGATTACGTGATTCGTTTGCTTGTCTTTCTTGAACCCATTCACTTTTGTATGCATTGTTACATTGTACATGTTTAATGGTCATGGGAAAGGTGTCAGATGCTAACATGTCTCAAACGCATGTAGTTCGGTACGCCGTACGACGGTGTTTCATTTGAAAATACGGCCCAAGAACGGTTGTCTATGCACGATGTGCTTAATCTTCCGTTACTGTTCCAGTGCTCCACGCCTGTCATAGAATAAGAGAAGTCCTTCTTTCATCGTGAATGGAATATTTTCAGATAACCGCTATGATCTTATTTTCTTTTTTTTCCGTTCTTCGCTCCATCAGGTGATAATAACATAATTGGAGTAAAGTCAGTGATCTTTTCGGGCGCGGTCAGGCAGTGAAATGACGGACCGGCTGATTACGAAAATTCTCAGAGTGGGATGATAACGGGGGTCTATAATAGTGGTGTCAATTTCAGAAAACGTATGTCCAATGTCCGTCCAATGTCCAATACTTACGTCGACTGTCCGTCCAAAAATGTCCAAGCTAGCCATTTGTCCAAAGATGTCCGACATTTACGCAATAGTTTACACTCAACGCCGTTATTTAATTTGCTTTTAATGTATCGTTACCAGCTCAAGGTGTTAATCACATCGAAAGCTGAGCTTTCTAATAGGCAATCAATGTTAAGCACAATTACTTTATAAAAATGTTGAGGTGTAGCAAGCGATTGTCCATAGTTATCCAAAGCCTGCTGTCATTGTCCAACCGAATTCCGAAGTGGACATTGGACAAAATCGGAATTCCGAAGATTTAAGTTCCGATTGACACCTCTAGTCTATAATGGCCTGATAAACCACCGGTTCCGGGTAGTCTTCCTAACTGTGAAGTATTTTAATTCATGTGTAGGGGATTCTATTTGACGGTGATGAAATACTACAGGACAAAACCGGTCTGAACTTCGAAAGCTAATGTCTGAACGAGTGGTGATGAAACCGGGAAGTAGTGATTTGATATAAATTTGGTAATCGTCAGTTATGTTATGCAATTGATTTCGTCAGAGGAGCAGAATTTCACTAAAATACTCAATTCCATTGACTAACACATTACTTTCATGGTTTCCCAGTTCTTCAAAAAGCACAATGTGTATCCCGCCGACTGGCAAACTTAAAAAGAAAAAACTTAGTACTTAGTACTAGTACTTAAAAAAATGTTTTATAAGAGGGGGGGGGGG